ATTAAAGTTAATATTTAATAGCTATATGTTTTATATGATTTGTTCATGCAGATGTTCTAATTGTTGAGTTCCATATATTGTTTTGTATTTTTTAGTTTTTTATTTACTTGTTTCTGTCTTGATTTATCTTCTTTTATGATTTATATACTTTATAATTGCCCTACATTTAAATGTGAAATTAAATCATGTGATAACACAGCTACTCCCATAAATCACTGGTTTATGTAATAAACTTATATTATTTTATATTGACATGTAAGACTTTGTGTATGAGGAGTGCGTCTCTCTATTATCAGTCACATGTATAGTAAATGCAGATATTTACTGTTTGACTATTTGAAAAATATATATGACTCAGAAGCTTTTGAGCCTGGAAGTTTAAGCTGTTGTATATAAACTGTATCTTTTCCCTCACAGTCTCATTCTTTTTAGATGTATACATTTCTTCCAAGTTCCTCAGATCTTTCTCTAAGATGGATCTAGGATCTACTTATGATCCTACATTATCACATGGCTTTTCTCATTTTAATATTGTTATGAGTCCCTGTTACCAGCATACAAAGGGAGATACATACAAATTTTGGTCTCTGTTGAAATTTCAACTCTGTTTAACTTAGACTTTTGCACATTCTTTTCTCAGCTTACAAAGTAATTTTGTTTCTATTAACTCACATTAACATTGTCCCTCCTTCAATTTACTGCAAAATTTTTTTGACTAATGTCCACCTATAAACTGTATTTTTCCATCTTAGAATTTTTGGATTTTTTTCTCTTGAATGTATTATTATAAATAGGTATAGTTGCTAACTTTTACTTACCCTATTCCTCCCTCTAGATTTCTATGTATATGTGTTCATTTCAAGAAAAGTTATTATTTACTCGTGAATGAACACGGATTTTATGACCATTCACTATTTCTTTTATAGAAGATCAGAACAATTACATTGTGTGAACATGTTACTCTCTTTGCTCCTTGGGTTTGGCAGAGATATTTAAGATGTGATACTTTCAAATTACAGTACTATTTGGTTTAGTTTTATCCAAAGTAGCTAAATTCCATAGGCTAAGGTCACCTATTGACTATGAAGTTCATTATTTTTTGTTGTAGGAAATTTTTTAAACTTTTTATGATTTTTTATATCTGTTAGATAGAAAACTCCAATGTTAACACATGTCACAATGTTTGGTATGATAAACTGCAAGTAATTTTAAATTCCTCCCATATAAATATTTCCTCCAGAACCTTTCATACCATCTGACTTATTATTTTTCACCAAAATCTGTCTCAAATTAATTATTAAACACTTTTTATGGTCATGTCTTTTAGTAGTCTATTTTGCAAAAAAATTAAATGTATAGAATAATCATAGAAATAATATGTAATGTACATATCCAAACTCTCATTTATACTGCTATTTTATTGATTTAAATATTACTGAGATAAGTTTAAAATAGAATTAAGGCTTTTCTGCTTAAATTTATGCTCAATTGAATCTGATTTGTAGAAATCTAAAAATAACCTATATTATATGGACTCCATCAATAAACTTTTGTTTATAACTATGGTTGGGCTAAAACTAGAATGCATTTCTACTATTTCATTCAGGAATTTACCTGTGGAATCGAATATACTTATAACAATTTCCTCAAAAAGCTATTTTAAGAATATTTCCAAACTTTGTAAGCAGTCAGAAAATAGATTTCTTGACTAAAAAATTAGATACCAACAATGTTTAAAATTGTCTATTCGATTACTTTATTACTAATTGAACACTGAACAAAATTATGATCATTTCTGCTGCTAGTATTGAAAAACTTACCTAGTATTTTTATTTCCCTAATCTGATACTATTTTTTGAAGCTATATTTTATAATTTGCTGAGCAACACTAGTTTGCCATGGACTTTTATGAGTAGTAACAAATATATAAACATTGTTTCTTCTAATTCTTTTAAGAATTTTACTAGTTCAAAAACCTGCTCAACTCACCAGTCCTACCACACACATGTATCAAGCCATTTTGGAACTTTGATGGAAGGAAGCAACATTGTGTATTTGTTATAAAAATGAATTTGTCATCATGCTTTCTGCCAATTTAAGTACCTAACTTCCTCTTTAAGACTTATTTCTTCATGAATAAATTGTGGGAAATAAAAATATCTAGTCCAAGGATTTGATTAAATGAGATAATGACTGCAAGGTGCTGAACATAGTGCCTAAACTAACATCAAGTAATACTTCACTAAATGTTGTTGTTTTGGTGAGAATGATGAAGCTAGAGATAACAAGAAAAATTAAAATTACATATGTGCCATCACTATATACGATAATGGAAGAAAGAATGAGAATGTGTTTACTATTGTTCAGTAGCTACACATAGAAGATTGTGTATCCATGAAGTTATTTAGCTCTGTACTTCTTTTCCCTGATGGATTTAGATGTTTTCCTAACCTTCAATGACACTGAGTAATTAGCCTCTTATGATACATAATTATAAGAATGGCTTAATAAAAACAATAATATGCTATTCATTCATTTGGATCTAGACTCCCTGGCTGCAATAACTTCCTGATATTGCCAATTACTCATAAACATACTCTAATATGGAAATATCGAAACCTTGTCTAAATATCTCATAGTCCTTTTTCATTATTAAAATTTCTTTTTCAGGAAATGCCTTTTCAAAGTTTGGGGATAATTTGGAATATACTATTTGCATTTAT